TGATGCTGAGCAATACCTACCTTTAAAACCACAAGACTAGGACCAAGTGTAAGCCAATCAGCCCAATGAGTCTACTCAGACATTCAATAAGGTTATGCTAATCTGATAATCTTGAACTCCACTTTCCTGCCTTTTCCTCATTACTCTTGATTTCCGACTGATTACAGATCTGTCTATCTCAGTCCTGGATGTACTTATTAATGCAGACTGCCCTCTTGCTCTAGATGATCCCATAAAAGGAAACATCTAACCTGCCTAAAAATCTTGTGAGACTCAATAAAATCATTTATCGTTCTTCAAAACTCCAAATGAGTACAAGTCCAAGCTATTGAACCTCTCCTTATATAATCATCCCTCTATATCTGGGATCAATTTCTCGGAAATTGAAATTTCTCTGGACTACCTCAAATCCTGGGATAAGGAGACCAAAACTGCTCACAGTATTCTAGATGTGGTCTAACTAGTGCTTTGAATGACCCTTGTATGACCTCCTATTTTCATTCTCCACTCCCTTTGAAATAAAAGCCAACATTCCATTCACCTTCCCTATTACTGCTGAGGTTGTATGCTAACTTTTTGTGATTTATGCAGAGGGACTCCCAAATCCCTCAGCTTTCTGCTGTCTCCATTTAAATGATATTCAAGCCCTCTATTTGTCCTACCTAAGTGCATTACTCTGTCTTTCCCACATTATAATCTATCTGCCAAATTTTTGGCCACTTACCTAACCTTGTCTATATCTATCAGTGGACTCCTTGTGTTATCCTCCCCTCCCCACATATTTTTGTGTCATCCACAAACTTGGTCATGGTGCTTACATTTCCCTTAACCAAGTCATTAATATTTATTGTAAATAACTATGACTCCAGAGAGTGGGATTTTGTGGTGGGTGGGGTGCGGTGGGTGTCGGGGGGTTGGGTGGAGAGTGTAGTGTTTGATTGTGTGTGCGGGGTGGGGTTTCTCTGATGGGTGGGAGTGTGGGGGCTGGGCTATGGAGGTTGTGAGCTGTGGGTGCTGCATGGCAAGTGGGGAGAATTGTTAGTGGTGGTGGGGTGTGTGGGTGTGGAAGGTGTGGAGGAGAGTCGGGGGGTTGGTGTTAAGGGGGGTTGTTGTGGTTTGGGATGTGTGGGGTATGTGAGGATGTGTGTGGGGGTGTGTGTGCGGGTGTAGGGGTGTGGAGATTGGGGGGTGTGTGTGTGAGAGAGAGAGCTGGGGGTAGTGGGGTTTGACGGTGTGGAGGGTGTGCGGAGAGTGTGTGTGGAAGTGTAGAGAGTGGAGTGTGTGGGTCTTTGTGCAGGGGTGTGGCAGTAGAGAGTGGGGTGTATGTGTAGGATCTGAGTGTTGTGTGGTGGTGGGATTTGAGGGTGTGGGGGGCATGAGGAATGTGTGGGGTATGGGAGTTGTGGGGTTGTAGGGGAATACCGGGGTGTGGTTGTGAGGGGGTGGGTGGGGATGGATGTGTCGCTGAGGTGTGTGAGGATGTCAGAGTGTGGGAGTTGTTGGGATGTAGGAGAGTAGAGAGTGGGGTTTGTTGTGGGCAGGGATTGTGTGGTGGTTGGGTGGTAGAGTGGGAAGAGTGAGAATGTCCGGTGTAGATGCGTGTTGGGAAGGTCAGTGCAGGGTGAGGATGTGGGGGAGAGGGTGTGAGGCTATTGGGGTTTGGGATGTGGGGGTGTATGTGGAGGTGTGGTGGAGTTTGGGGGGTGGGTGGCATCTGCAAAGGTATAGCGGTATGGAGGGGTGGGCTTGTATGGAGCAGGGTATGTGAAGGTGGGGTGTGGGCATTGAGGTCTACTCACCCATAAAAATACCCACATCCTTTGTCTACAAAATAGAGAGCCTTGCTCACAAAGTCTTTTGGTTGTGCTTTGTTTGATCTAGTTCTGTTAATTTACAGAAAATAGCTTTTAAATACTCGGGTACATAGTACCATTGTTTTGGGAAATGTAAATTTGCAATATTGCAGATTTCTGAACAAAATTAAGATCCACTAGAAACTAATTATTCATTGTTTGCTAAGTTTGGTTCATAGTTTAATAGATATGATTACCTTTGTTCAATATTCAGCTGGATTTTATTTTAAAATGCCTGAATGCAGGAATCAATTTCTTTACTGAGCTTGGAACATACAATTACGGTGACAATTACTGTTGTTCATAAACTTTTCCCACTCTTTTACAAAATTGTTTAGAAAGCAAAACGAACAGTGTTCATATGAGCTAAGTGAACTGTTTTTTAAAGTCAAAGAGCAACACCTATAAAATCATTATGACTTAAAGCAAATCAAACATTTTAATTGAATTAATCAGAGAACAATGAATCGGAATCATGAAAGATTCTGGTGCAGAACACACAGAGAGTAGAATTTCTGCCAGGGATTTTCTAATCTCCTGTGATAACTAATGGCATGTTAGCATAGATCTTGGAGATGGGGCCTGCATCGCCTTTCTAGCAGGCAAGTGAGTGATCATACCCACAATTACAGTACAACCTGATGAGATTTATGGCAGATTTTTACACGAGAATGGATACAATTGATGTGGAAATCAATGATGCAAATTTAAAAAAAAGACTGCGCCTAATAAGAGGTTGAAGCAAAAAAAAGAAACATCTTCACAATTAATTGAGACTGTAAAATCAAATATATCTCTTACAGCCCAATAAAAGGTGAAGAGTAATAAGAGTAATGGATTTCTGGATGGATAAGGGAAGTACAATCTCTATAGAGTCTCTCACACCTTAAGAGAAAAAATTAAGTGAGTGAAATGACTGCATTTAAAAGTGATTTCTGAAATAAAGGAAAACGATACAGTTATTTCAATTATTGTAACTGCAAGCTTATTACTGAGATCTGGAAGGTAAGCACTGCAGAAATTGTGTTATTCGAGCTTTCTGAATTGTTTTCTGGTACATCCAACATATGGAGGAAATATTTCCCAAGAGCAACGGACAATAAGGCCGAGTTGTCTGCAACCTTCACAAATCTCAAAGACAGCATAGAGTAAAAGTATTAAGAATGCAGAGCTTTAACACATCATGCAACTGAAAGAATAAAGAGACAAGAGTGATAGCTTATAATTTAATGTTAAAGAAGTGCTTAGGCAAATGGCACCCAGAGTTATATATATCCAAATATTGCAATAATTCCAGAAGAAGGAATATGCACAGCCAATCAAAAGTTGCAATCAGAGTTGTGCACTCTTCTGTATGCTTCATCAAAACTGCATTTTCCTAGTTGGTTCCCTATTGAAATACATTGAGACAATAAGGGCTGCAGATGCTGGAAGCCAGAGTCTATAGGTGTGCGGCTCAGCATCTGAGGAGGAAGTAAATCAACGCTTTGGGCTGAAACCCTTCGTCAGGACTGGGGAGGGGGAGGAGACCCCAGAAATAAATAGAGGGAGGGGGTGGGGCTGGAGGAAGTGTCAGAGTGATGGTGAGAGGTGGATGCAGGTAGGGTTATTGTGATTGGTCTGTCAGAACGGTGGAGCGATTGGTGAGTGGGAAGGTGGACAGGTTATGTCAGGTCAGGAGGGGGAGGGCTTGACATGAAATGAGGCTGTGGTTGGAGGGATTTTGAAGCCAGTAAGGTCAGTATTAAGGCCATTGGACTGTAAGCTTCCAAGGTGAAATATCAGGTGTTGTTCCTCCAGCTTACGTTTGGCCTCACTCTGAGAGTGGAGGAGGTCAAGGATGGACATGTCATCAGGGGAGTGGGAGGAGGAATTAAAATGCATGGCAACCAGAAGGTTGGGTTTGTTGGTGCATGCAGAGAGCAGATGCTCCATGAACCCGTTCCCGAGTCTGCGTTTGGTCTCCCCGATATAGAGGAGACCACATCGGGAGGAACGGATGCAATAGATCAAGTTGGATGAAGTGCAGGTGAATCTCTGCCAGATCTGGAAGGACTATTTGGGTCTTGGATGGAGGTGAGAGAGGAGGTGTGGGGGCAGGTGTGGCATCTCTTGCGGTTGCAAGGAAAGGTACTGGGTGTGGTAGAGAAGTTGGTGGGATTGTAGAGCTGACAAAAGGATCATGGAAAGAATAGTCCCTGCAGAAAGCGAACAGGGGTGGGAAGGGAAATATCTTTTTGCTAATGAGATTTAATTGTAGGTGATGGAAATGTTGGAGGATGATGCATTGGAATCGGAAGTTGGTGGGGTTGTATGTGATGACTAAGGGAACTCTATCCCTATTGCTGTTAGAGGAAGGGGGTTTGTGGGCAGAAGTGTGGGAAATAGAGGAGATGTGGTTGAGGGCATCCTTAATTACAGAGGAGGGGAAATGATCATCCCTAAGTAGGAGGATAGCCAGGATTTCCTGAAGTGGAACGCCTCATCCTGAGAGTAGATGTGACCGAGGTGGAGGAATTGCGAGTATGGGATAGCATTTTTCCAGGAGGGTGAAAGAGCGGAGGTGTAGTCGAGGTAGTCGTGGAAATCAGTGAGTTTGAAATGGATATTGGTGATGAGTCGGTTTCCAGAGTTGGAGACGGAGAGGTCCAGGGGAGGGAGGCATTAGAAATAGTCCGGGTGGATATGAGAGCGGGGTGGAAGGTGTTGCCAAAGTTGATGAACTCCTCGAGCTCCTCACAAGCGAACGAGAGTGTCAGTGGAGAGGGACTGTTTGGGCCTACGGGAGAGGAAGAAGTAGAGGGCTTTTAAGCCTCAACGAGGTAGAGGTCAGTACATCATACTACAGCCGTGCCCCGCTTGTTGGTGGGTTTAATAGTGAGGTTTGGGTTGGAGCGAAGGAAGCGAGGGCTGCGCTTTCCGATGGGGAGAGGTTGGAGTAAGTGAGGGGGTGGAGAGATCCAAGTGATTGATGTCACGGCAACAGTTTGAGATGAGTGAGTCGAGGGAGGGTGGGAAGGCAGGAGGAGGTGTTCAGGAGGATGGAGTTTGCTGGAGAGGGAAGAAGGGGTTTTTAGAGGGTAGGTTGGATTCCTGTTCAAAGAAATAAGCGTTGAGGCGGAGGCAGTGGAAAAAGAGCTTGACATCATGGTGTGCGTGAAATTCATTTACATGTGGGAGCAGGTGAATGAAGGTGAGTCCTTTGCTGAGGACTGACCATTCAGCCTCAGTGATGGGGAGGTTGGGGGGGGATGGTGAATACCCAACTGGGCTTGGGGTTGGGGTTGGGTGCAGTGCTGGAGCCAGAAACAGAGGTGGAGTCTTCATCAGAAGTGGATGTGTACACTGCAGCAGTCACATGGGCTGTACACTAAGTAACCCTATCATCACTGATGTCAGCATGTTGTCGGAAGCGACAATCACATGGTCGTCAATGTCGGTGCAAGTGGCAGTCACATGGTTGTGCGGAGTAGTTGGAGCGCCAGCGTGGTTAATGGTGTCAGGCTGATCCTGGACAAGGTTGGAAATGAAGTTGGGATACTGAAAGGTTGAGGAGGTCTGTGTCTGGAGGTGTGTATGGGAGGGTCTGGCGTACTTATGGTCTTTGATGTCTGATAGAGCAGGAAAAAAGTGTTTGTTGAGGGTGTGGATCCTTTTAAGAACAAGGAACAGTACAGGTCCTCTGGGAGAGGGAAGCCCTGAGCTGGGACAAGTCCGACTGCAGGGAGAGAAGGTGTTGATGCATGGCAGAGAGTATGAAGCTGAGAATCCGTAGGGACAACCATTTCTGGAGGCACTGGAGGTACTGTAGATAATGATTTTCATGGTTGGGTCCAAATTGTGAAGGTCTGAAAGTTATTTGGAGTCCATCTGGGATGACACATAGAAATACATTGAACTGCATGAGTCTGCCATATTTGCACCATAGACATAACCTAAATTCACAACAGAAAGTTAGGTATTGTGTTTCTGAGTCTATGTTCCTTTTTTTAACAATATTATGAGTGTTTGTTACTGCAAGTCAACACCTGCCTAAGAAAATGAACCACTATTAGAGTAGAAATGATTTCCTCTCAGCTTGAACTGTAAGCATTTGACAATAAGCTTTTGTTGCAAAGATGATTTTCTTGGGTGATTGTGGGGTTTGGGAGGATAAGGTTTCAGTAAAGATACTGCACATTTCCTATCATCACTGCATTTGTTGGAATAAGGTCCCTATGCCAAAATTCCATGCACAGACATTCTATAGGTCTCCTTGTCAGAATCCTACATGTCCCCAATTGTTTGTGTATGAAGTGAGTGCTGACTGCTCGCATTTTTAAGGACTTGCTCTTTCCTTATTCCCAACATGGGAGTGTTCTAAGCATGAGCACTAGCTCCAGCCAAGTAAATGTTTTCTTGTCACTGTGGTGGAATGATGGTACAAGGAGAAATTAAAGAACAGATGCACCAGCAAACCCAGGACCAGCTACAAGTTCTAGCAGATGCCAAACAATTCTCAAATGAAGATGTCACAACTGAAGGTCCCCTCAGCGGGTACAAGAGGCACAGAATTTATTGTCCTCAATGTCATTTCTTTCAGGTAACGGAGACACAATGTTGCTACAGACTGAGGAAATACCATGACACTGTCACAAAACTATGCTAACTACAACAGGATCAGCGACCTGAAGGAGTAGGTGGCTATCCTATTTCAGAGTTTGTCAAGGTGACTGCTGAGCTACACTTCTGTGTAACTGCTTGCATCCAAGGAGCAACCTTTGTAAGATATGTTGATTCTCAAACCACAAACATATTAAGGCTGTTGCCAATGCAATTTGTATCAGATCGCACTGCTTCAACTCTTTTGCCCATGATGAGATCAATGCTGTAACCATTGACTATCGTCATCCCTTCCCTACCTTACACTGTACCAGTGATCCCTCTTCATAGTTTATTGTTCCCATAACATCCCAGCATGCTGCCTCCAATCTTCACAACTGAATTCCCCAGTGCCACACCACAGGAATGATCCTTAATAAACAAATCCTCTTTGATTTTCAGTGAACGGACCCACTGGATTAACCATGGCCCACTCCTCTGATCAACTATGAGAGACAGCCTGTATTGAAGAATTATCAAACTCTTGACTGATCTCTATGCATCTATCTGACTGACTTGCAATTAATTCCCAGTCTGGATGCATTGGGCCTGTCGGATTAGCCATGGCCATCCCCTGGGCTGTAGTGAAAAGGACTCCCTCAATGTGTGTCCAGTTCTCTGTGCTGATATCTGATGATGTCCTTGATTTACTGTGCTGGTACCCCCTGGTTGCTGACTGTCCCCCATGACTAGGCTAAAAACAAATTCCCCTTAGATTTTGAGACCTGGCCATTTGGCTGGAATATCTGCTTGTCATGTAGCCTGTTGACATATGTTGCGGGTGTGACATAGACATAACACAGTGCAGTGCAGCAACATGACCACTTAAGTGATCACTCCTGACAACCATGACAATAACTGTCCTTATGCCTGTGGTTAAAGGACTGCAATTTTGTAAGTTCTTGATGAGACAGCGGAGATGCTGTGAACATCCAAATAGGGGCAAAGTGACTGAGCAGTAAGAGAGCAAGCAAAAAGCCCATTGGTGCACCCTGCTCCAATCCACGAGATGGATGCCTATCGCTGCATGCGAAGTGGGCTGGCAACAACAGTACAATGCCAGCTGTCAGTGCAATATTGAAGTAGAGAACCGTATTTTAAATGAATCAGAGACATGCTATGATGTGATGAGGATGTATGTGTATTTGATGCCAATTTCTATTGATGGGGTGCAGTTCAGGCACTCATGATGGAGCATGCTGGGGAATGCTGGCCAAGGTGGAGGCCTGGAGAAATAAGTGGTGAACTGGAGCTGCCAGGTTCTTGCTCTGACTTTCTTGACAAGAAACATTGCCATCTTGTTTCTCTCTACATTATAGCAAAAGGGCAAACTAGGTGAATAATAAAATGTTAATACAAGCAAATAGGCCCCATTGCTCCACCACAGCCTGTGCAGTAGTCCCCATTCTCGCTCTCCTTTCATCCATCCAGATGTGAAATCAATTGACGTGATGTGAACTTATTTTTCAAAGTTCATCACAGAAACCCTGTAGGAAGTTAAACCTTTTTCAGATGAGATCTAAATGGGATTTTAAACAACAAATTGAATAATAATAACTGTTAAATGACTGAGCTTTCCCTAGAAAACAAAAATGGTTTTATATCTGTGGAATGTTGTTAAATATCTCCATTATGATAACCAGATATTTTAAGCTACATTATTAAATATCTTATTTTAGCTTTGTTCATGATATTCCAGTTTCTATCTTAACCCTCATATGTCCCAATCTTTACTTCACCCTGTGATGTAAAAGTTTGATTTGTTTTTTATATTTCCTACTTTGTATTCTTTTATGTGATTTTGTCTGTGGGACAGTTCAACATCAATGGCACTAGGAATCTTCACTAAACTATGTTATAATCAGTAGCATGAATTAAACAGATTGCTGAATCTCTCAGTGAAGTGTAACTAAATATCTAATTTCTGAATCAATTAGAATGAAGCCATGTGAAATTAACAGCCTAAGGATTGAGAGAAATGTGCAAAAGAGTGATTGAATTTGGTGCTACATCAGATACATAAGATATTTGGATTGGGAGAGGAGAGAGGCTAAGTAAAATTGAACATTACAAATTTAAAATACTTTGTTAAAATCTCCCAACAATTAAAGGCTGAAACCTTGAAATTCTACATTTGCAAGCACATAAAGAAATTGTGGGTGCACCAAACATTGTTAACAGGATCCAAACCCAGATGGTTAGGTTCAAAATAAGACAATTATTTCCTTTGATAATAAGTTTATTCCCAGAATAAAGATCTCTGTTTCCTAACTACTACTCTCCAGTGACCTGGCTGTCTCTCTTTAGGTACGATCTCATTCCTTAATCAAACAATGCTCATTACCTGTGTATCTTTAATAACATAAATAACAAACCATTATCATATGGCCTCAAACCTCTATATTCAACAACATTAGGACTGAAAATTTTAATTGACTTCATTTTCCTGCTATATCTTGATTTAAGAAATCATATTTTTTGATTCCCTTATCCTGCAAAAGATCTATTAATATCACACTTGAATAAACTCATTGACTGAGCATCAACAGCTGCCTGGAGTTGAGAATTTCAAAGATTCACAACACTAAGTGAAGCAATCTCCCCTGAACTTGGATTTAAATGGTTGACTTTTTATTGACATTATGACCCCTAGTCTTAGTTCCTGCAAACAGAGGAAACAGCCTTTCAGGACCTCACTCTTAAGTACTCTCAGAATGTTATATGTTTCAATGGGACATGCTTTCATTTTTCTAAACTACAGAAAGTGAAGGACCACCTTGCTCCATCTCCTTTCCTGGTTCAGACCTTTCATTTTAAACATAAATGTAATAAACATTTCATACATCCTGTCAATGACAAGTACATTGTTCATTGGGGACAGATATGAAAGTTATCCATATTACTCCAAGATGTGAACTCTCGACAGCCCTTTATAATTTCAGCAAGACGTCCTTACCTTTAACCATTTACTACAAAGGTTTGGAATACAGCATATCACATGTCTGTCTAATTGCTGACTGTAGCCACATGAAAAAAATTGTTTGCATGTTCATTGTTGTGAAACAGCATTACTGAAAGAACATTTCAGTATTTGGTTATGCCACAGAAGTGCAGTTGGGTCTTGAGGATACAACCAATCATCAATGTGCAGGATTCACAATTTTAATTAGTAAACATCTACTCAATGGGCTTGGAACCTCAGTGCCCACTTGCATCTTGGTACACTTCTTGTACAGCCACTCATTATGGACAACATAGGGTTGAATATTTCTGAAAGTAGGCTGTGTCAATTTTGGGAAGTTCATGAAGGGTATCGCTCCATGATCTCTAATGAGTTTTCTCACACAATTTTACACTGATCCCCTCATTAACTTTACACTAAGCTTCAATGGCAAGGCTAACATGCAATCTTTCACACACCCTGGTGCAGAAGTACTCACCAAAGTTAGGACCTTCTCAAATTTCCACCACCATTTAAACCCCAACTTTGCACCAAGTCAATCGTTGCGAGTCGGGATCTGTCTTTCATTGTTGCAGTATCAGAAAAATTTCCCCAGGACTAGCTCACAGAGGCACGATGACATCTCAATTTGCTGACTGAAACCTTGGGGTCCTGATGGACGGGTGGTGGAGAGGAAAGCCATCCTCTTTCCTCAGAACTGCCAGAGGAGATCGTGGCACCAGAGCCTGTCAGTGTGGTCGAATGTTGCCATCTGGGTTAACGTGACATGTAGGGCTGGAGCAAGGCCCAGCAGTGCAAGAAGAAGGTCAATGGTCATCTGCACTCTGAGAGAGTAATTGCCTGCTCACTCACGCAAGGCACCACACCAACCTCTCCCCCATCTACATCGGGACGAACTCTGTGCCAGGCACTTTCATCTCACTCAGTCCCTCCCACCAATTATCTCATTCCAGGAGAACTTCTCCACAATTGGGAGGAGAGAACCAAATCAGGTGGTGGAGAGCTGACATTTTCTCACCTAACCATCTATGAGGAGTGAATCTTTGCCTTAGTAGGGTAGGACCATTACCGCTCATGTGACAATGCCAAGACCTCCATGTTCTGGCAAAAAAGTGAAGATGTGCTGTGCTACTCTCCTGTTGCCACAATATGAATGTATTCTGAACATGCTCAAATGTCTACCTATATTTTGCAGTTCATTTCCTTTTTCTTCTTCTCTGTAGGTACCAGTGGCATCCATAAGATCACTACCACAAAGAAAGCAGCTCCTCAAATATCATCACCCCCTGCACCAGGAAGAAGCCACAGATTCTTCAGAGGTAACTACCACAAGGCTCCACTATAGGATAGATTCATTCCTTCACAATGTGTATCCCAGGAAACATTAAGCAATTAAGCTACATTTGCAGTTGCGATTGCTGGCCTCAGAAGTATCAAATCATTTAGTCAGTGAAAGATGATTTCACGATACTCTATTCCATTGAATAAAGTTCACAAACAGATCATGACTACATTGTTTTGGCCAATAGTTGTGTATTGTAGGATGTTGAAGGTACTTTTCCATTTGGAAAATGTCCTCATATTGTTACTCAGAACATTACAATGGCTCTCATCATCCATCATATAGGCTGGATGCATTCTTCACTTGTATGGAACAGAGATTCCAAGGGATAAGCAGCATCTTCTGTCTGCATGTTAGTGGTATGAAGCTCCAGATGGGACCTGCATGGAAATCTTAGGTGTAGGGGCCATCCAATGGACCTTGTAGGCCCCAGTGGAAGGACATTTTGCAATGTAGATACTCTGAATATCATGATATGGCATTCTGACTTCTATCTCCTAATAGTGTATAATACCACTGTCCCTCTCTCATCTTCATGGCATTCTGCAGAACAGAAGCAACTCTGCCTCTACTGCATCCATGCCACATTATGAGAGTGCATATAGTTAGAAACTGAATAGTATGAAATGGCTACACGTTTGCTTAACGTTGAGCTGTTCTTGGACTTTCAGTTACAAATGGTCATCATCCATTCACATAGCAGCCTTTAGTACACCAATGACAGGGACAACCACAGCTTCTGTGCCTGGATCCACTGGCAATGGTCCCAATGAACCTCCGTGGGGCAGTGTCAGAAACAAAGTAGTTGCTCGGTAATGTGATCATTCAGCAGTCAGAACACAAACTAATTACATTTACACAATGTCCTCGAAACATTGGGTCATGGAGGCCCCCGACAAGGGGGCTAGTGTGACTGTGTCTGTGTGGACATTGTCCAGATTCAGAACTATGTTGCTCAGATGTTTTGGCACAGATTCAGTTGAAGATTCTATATGTGGCACCTATCATGAGAACCTTTCCAATCTAATCCCACCCCACAGTACCCATGAAAAGTATCATCTCACAGTGGTGTGGATGTTTTATGGTCCAATGCTGCTTCTTCCTGAAATGTGCAGCTTCTGTAACTTGGGCAGACTATAGAACCTTGGAAGGTGTTTGCTGCTTTGGCATCTCAGGTAAATCTGTACAGCCCAAATAACATTACTTATGCTTCACAAACATTACTATAATTAATATGTAAAGCTCATACATCATAGAATCCCTACAGTGTGGAAACAGGCCATTCGGCCCACATTAGATGGATGCATGTCCCTGAGTACAATGCGGATTGACAACAGCATAGCAATGCAATGCGTTGTTGTACTCCAAATAGCAGTATTGAAGAGGAAAACTGTATTGTAAGTAAACAGAAATGTGCCACGATGATGTGGTCAGGGTTAGTGTGTTTCACTGCGAATTTCAATTGATGGGGAGTGCAGATGATTGCTGGCAATGCAGCCTGGCCCTGAGATATTGGGACTGCTGGCTGAGATGGAGACTTTATGAAGCAAGTGATGAGCTGGGACACCAGCTACCCACTATGATTTTCATGTCAGGAATTGTCTCTCCGCTCCATGGGAGATTAGGTAATTGCATATAAATGAGGCCAGATTAGATACTAATGAGATGTAAATATGTTCAAATGGACAGCTTGCCAATCATCAGCAAGATTCCCATCTTGCTGTTTAAATCTTCAGCGTAAAGTTGGACTTTTTTTTCTCTATATTGACAATCTCATTTTTCTGATCAAGCCACATCAGGGACTGAAAGTTCAGTATAATGTTACTTTCTTTTAAAGAACCATTGCTTAAATGCTTTGCATTTCTATTGCTATTAAAGCTCTAATAAAATTTCCTTTTACTATGAATGCAAGGAAACTAGTAAAGTAATGTTATGCTTCCAGTTCCAACAGTTCGGTTCGGCATTTGTGGATAGTAAGCTCATCGCATTTCCACTTAACTCTTTTAAATAAGATCATGTGAAACTAGTTAATATGAAATTGCTCCCATATTTATATACATTAGCAGAACATAAAATCTATAACTTGATCTAACAAAATAATTGCAACCTTTTCTGTTTCAAATGCAATTTCATTTTTATCATTGATTTTAGCTTTTGTAATTATATTTGCTAGAGATTCCTTTATATGCACAATCATTCCTTTCACTCTCCGTCTCTCATGAATCGTGTTCTAGTTTGATTTCTAACCTGAACATACAAACATCAATTTCAAACATCTAGGGCCTCTAGTTTCCTGTTCCACTGCTCCTATGATGCTGCTTGGCCTGCTGTGTTCATCCTTGTTGTCTCATATATATATATAGCCATTTTGTTCCATTTTGACCTGTTGCTGATTACAAGTTTGAGAGTTGACTTTTTGCGCAAAATGTTTTTCTTTTTCAAAGTAAAATGCTTTATCTAATAATTCAATTAAAAAAGCAAGTTGTGTTATCTACATTTAGTAGCTGTACATGAATTGCACCTGAGATGTAAGAACGTACTAAGCATTTGTAACCTTTCAGTTGGATTTAAAATTTATTTATATGACTTGTTGACTGAAACATAACAAGTAAACATGCATTATGATCTTCAAAGTTGCTTGCAGTATGTTTTGTTTCACTATTATGTTAAATATTGTAAGGTCCCATCCAGCCAACTTTTTGTCCACGTGTACTATGGTCACTGACAAAAATATCCAAAATCACAAAGTTTATTAGATAATCCACAGCACCAGTTGAAGTGATGTTGTCTGCAACCATTATACTCTTTACTCTTGCACTCTTCATATCACTGAGAGAAGTGTAGTTTCCACTCCAGTATTAAATCTCCAATTAGAGTTGGTCTTGCTTGACTGGATTTGTCAAGACATAATTTATTTTGTCTTTGACATTTAAATAGTTGCTGTTGACTAGTTGCTTATTTTTAACATTCATTGCATTTCATTCATCTAGATCAAATTCTATACCCCACTCCAACAACCCATCTAAGGTTATGCATAATTTTGCTCAAATATTATTTTGCCAAGAGGTTTGACCTCCTACCCTGCACTGGTAAAATTACATAAAAACAAAATACTGTGGATGCTGGAAATCTGAAATAAAATTAGGAGGTACTGAAGAAACTCAGCAGGTCTGGCAGAATCTGTGGAAACAGAAACAGAGTTAATGTTTCAAGTCCAGCATGTCTCTTTTTCAGAGATTTGCTGCAAGCCAACAAAACTGTTTCTAAAAAAAAAGTGCAGAATTTGAGTTGTGCAGTCACTGAAAGAAAACAAGTTTGATGTAATTTAAGGTAGAAAAATAGCCAGTTAAAGTTTCTTTAGTTTCATCATTGCCCATATCAGGTAGTATGTCAATTTCAAATGTTTTCCTTGTAAAGCAAAGAACTTTCTTGTAATATCAAAATCAATCAAAGTGCATGAGCATTACTTACACATTTTTCCTGTCTTGAATAGCCCAAAGCTATTCTATGGTTCAAAGGTCAAATTTATGAACAAATCTAGAAGCCATATTAGTAAGCACGTTAGAGATAGTAGGAACTGTAGATGCTGGAGAATCCGAGACAACAAGGTGCAGGGCTGGATGAACACAGCAGGCCAAGCAGCATCATAGGAGCAGAGAGGCTGACGTTTCGGGCCTAGACCCTTCATCAGAAAAGGGGGAGGGGAAGGGGGTTTTGAAATAAATAGGGAGAGAGTGGGAGGCGGATAGAAGAGGGATAGAGGAGAGGATAGGTGGAGAGGAAACAAACAGGTCGAAGAGGCGGGGACGGGGCCAGGAAAGGTGAGTGTAGGTAGGGAGTTAGGAAGGGGATAGG